AGACATTTCATCTGGTAGTGGTCACATCCACTTATACTAAGTTAAAACTTAGTATAGTCAATATAATACCATTTCCATACCCCTATGCTACCTCCCTGAATACAGGACTCGATAATAAACTCTTGATCCACGGACATCTGAATATAATCCTCACCTCTCTCATGGGCAGGAGGAGCTCTTTAGTTTTGGTCGACAGTCGTCCTTGAGCTGGTAACTTGAAGAAAATTAACCCTTGTCGATCAACGATAAATCGTAAAAATTACCAATCTCAATGATTACGAACAAATATACATACCACGTCGTCCGTCATCCGACTCAACAAAGGGTAGGTACCTCAGAGAGAAAGCAATCTGGAGACGAAAAATCAGACACGAGAACAAACTCTTCCAACAACGTAGAGATCAAACTCGGACTATTCCCAATCTTGGACCAAGTGACTCAATTTCAAATCAACCAATAAAAAGTAAGCAAAATAAATGGTCTCGCGAACAGTATCAACAAGTTATAACATCCTTTTTCATCGTACTTGAAAATCCAGAAAAGAACACTGCGGATCAGACAAACCAAATATGGAGAACTATGGTAGGGAGTGGAATAAGACCCCATCACAACCGAAACATGCTTGTCAATGTCTCCCCGTGATAGAAAATTTCCTTAAACAGAGCATGGGAATGTGGAAAACCACAGTATTCCTAAATCACACCAGAGGCACTGCCACATCCAACCGACTGAATATCTGACGAGGAATCATTCAAGGAGTTTCCCTGTCATCACATCTTTTTATCTGCCCTTAATCGTCCTTACGCATGAACTAAACAATGATAGCTATGTATACAAACTAAACAAGAAAGTATTCAATCACCTACGCCATATGGATGATCTCAAATTCTTTGCCAAAGAAGACGATGAGTTGAAGGGTCTTCTCAATACTGTAAAATATTCAGTGACGACAGGTATGGATTTCGCATGAGATAAATGTGCAAATGTAACATTCAAGAAAGGGAGAATTACAGAAACACACTCAATAGATCTAGTCTTTGTCACAAAGATTAGGGAAATGGATCAAGAAGAAGCCTATAGGTGCCTGAAATCAGCGAAGGTGCTGAAATACATCATATCTACATAAAGGAGAATTAAGAAAGGTGTACTACAGGGTGTGCGTATGGTACTGAATACTGAGCTGTATTCAAACAATAGAATGTCAGCCATAAAGACCTTGGCTCTTCGTGTGATGCAATACAGTTTCAACATCATTAATTGGACCATAGCTGACATTAAGAGAATGGGCGCCAAAACGAGAAAGCTTCTCGTCTGTCACCGTATGTTTCATCCCAAGGCTGATGTTGACCATCTGTATATGCCCAGATCCGAAGGAGGCAGAGGATTAGTTCATCTAGAAGTGTCCTACAAAACTACAAAAATTGGCCTTCAGAGATACATGGAAACTAAAGAAGATTGGATGATGATCTGTGTCAAAGAACATGAAAGAAGTAAGAAACTTTATTCAGTAATAAAGAAAGCCAACAATTTCAAATGGTTGAAGAAATGCAAGTAAAGAATAATACACCGACTGAAGCTGCAAAATACTTAAAAAAGAAGTAAAAGGCAAATGCAACCGACCAAATACAGAAACGATGGCAAGTTAAACAGCATCACGGTCAATACTCTGCTCGTATCAAACCAGCTGATGTTATGTGGTTACGTAGTGCAGAGTTAAAAGCCGAATGATTACTGACTAGAAATTACCAAGCATACATACTGAATAATTGTGTTAGTCAAAAATGCTGATTATGTGATAAATATCCAGAATCAATTGATCATTTTGTATTAGGTTCCGCGGTATTGTCAGCTACTGAATGTCTATTTCGGCATGACAGAGCCAATATCTTCACTGGAAAATCTGTAACTTTTACGGAAAAGAAACTGCGAGAAATTAGTATGAGCAGCACCCAGACCCGGTTACGGAGACAGAACCCCGAACAATTTTATGGGACTTTACAATACACAGAGACAGAACAATCAACGCTAATCGACCTGACATCGTAATTAGTGACCGCCAAAATGTGCCTCCTTATAGACATGGTAGTCCCTGTAGACAGCAATATATCTTTGAAGATCTTCACATTTGTCAAATTACAAGGGCATCAAAATCGAAATCACAAAAATGTGGCACATAACTCAATGAAGTGATCTCTGTTATCCCAAGCCATAAAGAAATACAAAACAAATTGTACTCACAACTGCACCTTACACTTTACGAAAGGCTTTATGGAAAATGTATGTGATCAATTTGTTATTTTACAAAAATGCTCAGTAGAAAATGTATGATCTTTGATCTTTGTTTGGGACCCGAAAAGAAATGAGGATACAGCAGACATCAAAAGAAATGATAACAATAATTTTGGGGAGGGAATCTACTTTTCTGGCCGTGCATTAGACGAGAAAATATAGAGAACTGTACTGATGTCTGTTCGTCTCATCATGTAAAGTGGTACACACTAGTTTTTCATTCATTAAACTCCGACAATATATTCTATCCAGGATTGCATCCATGTGAATTTTGCGGATATATAAGACTATTTATTGCGTCGTTCATCTTGATTACAATCATTTAGACAGTGATTACCGTTTGCGTACTTTTAAAGAAATGCCGCAAAAAGTAACTTCACTGTGCCAGAACTTAGAATCCGAAATTTCTGGGAGATTAGGAAATTGCCAGCATGTATCGCCAGTACGTTCTAGTTGGCCCCTCCAACTCCAAAAATCAAGAAACACACTGGACAAAATGTCACGCATAGAATCATTGAAGTTCTCGATTATACAAATGTGCCGCGAGGAATCACCCTACTTATCTCGAAGGTAGGTCTGTGAAGATCGTTCTTAATAGCCAGTCCTCTGAGATCAATGATAGTTTGCTCAAAGGTTCTCTCCTCGGTCTTACCCACTTTTTAGTTTGTGTCAAAGATCTGTCCAGATGATGCCAAAGTGATGACCAGACATTCCTCTGACCTAACACTCACAGTTCAACGCGTAAAAGACCGTACAGTCAAGACTAAACTAATAACAATTCGTTACCCCAGGTAAAAAATAAACCTGCACTGATTCAGATGAACGTTCATATACCAGAAAAATTAACCTTATTTTTTTATTTTCATTGATTCAGTCAGTAGACGAAAATACTCCAATTTTGTCAATGAAATAATTAATATATTAGCTACGATAATATAAATATATTGTATCATTTTAATAATATAAAGAAAAATATGCAAATATATTTAACGCAGATATCAAAATTAATATAATATATATTTACTAGCAGTAGAGCCCGGCGTTGCCCGGGGATGTAACAGTAAGAGATAGATCAAGTATCGACCATCATAAAGACTGAAAAATAAAATTGACAAAGATTATTGTTTAAGGTTGACGGACACACGCATGTCTTAATTAGTTTTATTTTTTTTATTTTTTAAATTGGTCAAACCCAAACTCAAACAAAACATTGTTTTCAATCGTTATAAGTCTACTGATTGAATAGAATTTTATTATAAACAATTGTCTTGTAAATGGAATTTTTAAAGCATTCTGAATGTAAAAATAAAGAAAAAAAAGTGTACCGAAGACAATAAAAACACTACCTGCCAAAAAAAAGTGAAGTTTTGTTGAAATCAGTTGAAAAATGTAGGACATTTGATCCCATATATAAATGAAGACACACACACACACACACACACACACACACACACACACACACACACACACACACACACACAACCAACCTGTGTTTTATAATAAATGTAACTTGATAACTTGATATTAATAAGTATAACTCGATATGAGTTATCCCCCTTTCATTAATGCCTCTTAATCGTGTTTTCAAATTGATTTCATGCAAAAACAATTGTTTTTCCAATTTTTGGCGCTGTCAGAACCACTGCAAGGTAATTTTACATAGTTCTGTGAAGTTTTGTTGAAATCGGTTGAAAAATGTAGGAAATCCAATCCAATATATAAACGTACAGACACACACACACACACA